CAGAATCGGTTACACACGTTGTAACAGAATGTAATCCCATTCGAATGGAAGATTAAACTTCGCCGGGGATAGTTCCTTCGTCCTGTCATTTATCAAAACCTGTATCCTCGATCGCGCGGCCAAGTACTATTTCCTTAAGCGCACGCAAATTCTGTTTACCGACTACTCTCCCGACAGTATCGTGTCGTTCCATAATTCATAACGAGAGCCGTTTTCCTTGTTCAAGCTCCTCGTCTCCCGTCCTTCGACCCTCAAAAAGTAATAGCTCGAAGCTTGCCGGAACTTCTTCTCTACATTCCCCTGGCCTCCTTTCCACTCAATTTCGATTGCTTGACCGAAGACCGAATACCGAAGAACAGTTCCTTAGCGCGGTAAGGAACCCTTAAAGACGAGTAAGTATCTTGGCGTACCTTGCAATTTTTACTATTTCATATGTTATCGAGCATCGGAAAATAACATTTACCTTCGTAGTTTTTCATATCGATATAACGTGTTAAAAGCTTCCAAAATTGCGAGTGTTGCGTGTCGGTTTTCCTGTTTTTCAAAAGAGATTTTAAGATTTTGTTTTTCGATAATAAGATACTCTTGACTCTTTACCGTTCGAGACAATCTCGCGAAGGTACGTCTCAACGAGAGTGAGCATTCTTATCTTTCACGTAAATTGTTTTATTAAACAAAAAATATCCTGATGCCCTTTTTGGGAAAGCTTTCGGTTCGGAAATGAACGACGCAGTAGTCAATACTTTGAAACAGAAAACAAGTTTTTTTAATTCTGATAATAGTATATATAAATAATAATTATTCTGATAAATTGCTTAAATCCATCTTGAAATATCTTATCTCGGAATCCTGTTTTCTATCAATTACCCATCGACTGTCTGGATTATTCGAATATCTCGTAAAGCATCGTTTAATTGGCCTCTCCCCTTGGCCGATGATATCTACGTTGTTCCCAGGAGCAGGTAAGCCTAAAGAAACCCAATCCGACGACCCTTCCATGTTCTCACAGCTCCAGAATTGCTTAATTTCCTCCTGAAATCAGCTCTCCTTTCAATTTCCTCGGTTCTTTCTTCCCTTCGATCTTCGACGTGTCGGTTCTCCAAACTTCAATCCGTAAGGTATCGTTTAAGCGAATATCTTGTTTATCGATCACGACTCGACCTCCCTTCTACGTGTACAGTATCAACGTTGTTACCAAATCTCTCTCGAGAAATTCCAGTACTTCCACTTTTTAATATGCCACGCCACGCTATATTCGACGAGTAAATTCCCAAATTGTCGTGGTATTTGCTGCTTTTAATATTCCTACTTTACAGTTACAGTAACAATACAATAGAATCTACACCTGTAACTGTAAAGTAGGAATATTAAGAGTGAGGCAAATATGAGCACGATATTTCAATAGTATATGAAAATAGACATGCTTACCTAACTTATGAAGCATGTTGTCAAATGAAGTCTTGTGAATAACCATTTTATTTTCCTATTTTTAATTCACAAAATGAATAAATATCACATAATCTTAAAATAAAAAGGACATAAGTAAAATTAAACTTATTCTTTATCCCTATAGTGGAAAATTATTCTAAATAACATATATTTAATACAGAAAATGAGCCATAAGGAATATATTATTAAATAATATTACAGTTGTTGATTTTATTATCACAGATATGCAGCAAAACGTCAACATTGAAGTGCTATATCTTAGAAAGTAATCAATACATATAATAAATACATTATGCCAGTTTCATTAATACCAAGTTTCATAACAATCTAATAACTTTTTAATATACATGTTGGCCATATTGGATCCGCCATTTTGAATTTTGGATTTCTAATATCAGATTCGAAGTTTGCGGCTCAAATAAGTCATGAATACCAAGTTTCATGAAAATCTAATAGCTTTTTAATATACATGCAATTCTGATATCAGATTCGTAATTTGCAGCCCGAATGACTAAAAAATACCGAGTTTCGTGAGGATCCGAAAACTCTTCCTAATTTTCGCCATCAGGACCACTGTGCGTGGATTCTTTAATCGATTACCGCCCTATTCGACGATATTTATCCACATTGTTACTAAGGCTACATATCAGGCTACGAAGTATCCTCATTTATAATCTCTGCGTCCAGTACAGTGTCCGTATCGTTTCCAAAAGTAGGCAAATTCAACTAGCCGTATCCGACACTCTCCCCATATTCCCGCTGTCCCGCAGATTCAAGTTTATCGAATATCTTCCCAGAATCACTGAACACCCCAATTTCCTCAAATTCTTCAAGTTTCGATAATTTGTCGATACCTTAACTACCACCTTACGAAGTATTGGGCTGTCTGGAAAGTCCATGCCGATTTTTAGTAGGCGGTACAGGTCTGATTATGTCGGAATGGCTGAAAACAAATAACGTGTATACGTTCTTTAAAAGGTGAAAAAGTTGCGGAATGAAATGTACATATATAATTCATAAATATACATCAACATTCAAATATGGCTTTGAATTTTTCTTAAAAATAGGCACGAACTATCCGGACAACCCAATATCTTCGTCGACGATATACCGACGTTGTTCCCAGAAATTGATTCAGCGCCACGACCCTTCCAAGTTCTCACAGATCCACGTTAGCTTAATATCTTCCCAGAATCACGAATCTTCGCCCAACCTCCCCAACCTCCCCAATTTTTCCAAGTTTCGACGGTATCTAAACAAGCTCCCCGTAAACTATGTATCTCTCTATTTCAAAATTCGAAACGGTCCCCTCCTCGTCCTCCTCTCCGCCGAAATCTCCTTCACTCGTCCGAACAGCGATCCCCCAAATATCGTCGCATGGAGTATCCTTTAATTGAACACCCCCTGCGTAGACGGTATCCGCATAGTTCCCAGGAACAGGTAAGCCCGAACTGGCCCTGCCCGACGACCCTTGCGCCAAGGGTTCTCGGAAGGGGCGCGTGTACGAGCAGGTCGTGTATTCTCGCTACCACACGAAGACTATAAGAAAGAGAGAAAGAGAGAGGCTCGTGCGAAATTCGATGATTCGCAGGACGGAAGATGGGGTGGGTAGCGACAGGTAGTTCCCATGGGAGGCTCATGGTGCACGATTCCCACAGGAGAGCGCGAAACCGGGCCACCGCACCGAGTCGAACCAGAATTCCGGTTCTCGTGGCGATTCTCTTTGATTCGTCCGAGACTTGTGGCCTTGCTTTATCGGCTCCCAGTGGCATGTCGCGACGTCGGAATCGAGTTCTCAGGCTTTTATCGCATCCATTCGATCGACTACAATACTCTTTTCTTTCTTTCTTTTTTGCCAACTGCTAGGACATTGGCGACTATTTATTTGTTTCGATATAAGTTAAATATCGGTACTTGCCACCATTGCAATTGAAGAAGGGAATAGGCATGTTTAAACCTTCAACTCCGAGCTCCTTTTTCAAATAGAAAAAAGAATTTTCTTTATAAAAGTATTATAACATTTTTGACAAATGACACACGCGTTTTTCAATTTTCGAAAATAAAACTGGCGCCCTTTAGTATCAAACAATAGAATCGTAATGGTATAAAATCATTATTATTGGGTAATTGATTTCTTCTAAGTATGTAGATATAGTTAAAGGGTTAACAGAACGCTACATCTAATTTTATTTAGAGGCATACGGCACTATAAAGACTCGAATTCACATCTTTGAAAGCGTATCTTGCTTCCGGAACCTCGCGAAGCCGTGAGAATGATATAATAATGTGGCTGATTAAACTACTGACCAATGCAGCTTGCTCGCCTCAAAAGTATCGTTGAATTTATCCACTATGCGACGGTACTCGCCGAAAATTGAAATGGCGTTGTGTGCTTTCCAGGTATAGAAATACAGCGAATCTATACTAATATTATAGAGAGTTAAAGGTTGTCTGTTTGTATGTAGGGGTAACTTCTGGAACTACTGAACCGATTTTAAAGATTTTTTTTAGTAATAGAAAGCTTTTATTTTGATAAAACTACGTTTTCAATTTGTAAACTAAAAATTTGTAAATCAAGTCGGAAGAAAAGCGTTGCTTTTACTTTATCGACGCACGCTAATTGGTTGGATATACATACGTGAAAATAATGCACTACAAAAATAATATTGGTTATCAATAGATCTAAAAATAATTCAGCGACACGATATACCTAACTTTTATATTTAAACCACAATAATGTTCTTTATCTTAAAAATGAATTAAAAATTATAATAGGATTATAAAGTTTAAGGGACAAGGCCACTCCAGAAATGTCAAAAAATCGATTTTTGTTGTTGTTGTTAATATGTTGACTTCGACTATTTTCGTAATCGCTCGTGTATGTTCGCCTTTTCGTAGTTGCAATATTACAATCAGTGATTTTCAATTTGTTTTGTTTTCTAAAAATTGAAATTAATATTAACCATTCTGTAACACTATATTGGTTATTTAATATATTCTTGTATGTGCATAATAATAACAAGAATATATTAAAGCATCTAAAAGGTATCCCAAATCTAAAATAGTTAAGAAAAGTAGTAATAATTACCTTTTAATTACTTTTAGGTATTTAATTTAAAATAGTGTTACAGAATGGTTAATATTAGTTTCAATTTTTAGAAAAAACAGATCGAGGATCACTGATTATCAGTTACCCCTCGTATAAAATCTCGGTCTATATCTTCACATGTCTTTCTTTGGCACATTCACATTACGATATGCGTACATGTGAAATGTGAGCCGAATACTGCCGAGTCTTGCCGGAATAAATCGACTTCAGATGAGTGCCTTCGACACCCCGAATTACAGACCCCTCTCACCTATAGTAGCAATTTATTCTCAGTTTATATTTTCATATGGCCATGCTATTTTCCTATTCCGCAAATATTTCCCGTTCGTCGCCCCCGAAATCACGAAACTCTAAACTCAATTAATCGAAAAGTAACCCAATTCTCTTCTTGTGATAACGTCATTGATCAGCATACACAAAAACCATTGGTCCGTCTGCGCAGATGCCGCGGAGAGGTTACTGACGTTGTTGGGCATGGAGGACGAGAACGAGGAGCTGTTGTCCTCCTCCGAGGATGAGGGCGTGGAGCTGGACGAGAACGAGCTGGAGGACGACGAGGACGAGTTGGAGAACACCAGACTGCTGCACCAGCTGGCTGCCTCGCTGGCGGAGGAGCTCAAGCAGTCCCATCAGTCTCATCAGAAACAGAATTCGGTCAGGCTTCTGGCGAGGAGTCCTTTCGATAAAGACAGGATGGAACTGGCCGAGGCTGAAAGTAGCTACACGGAACACGGTTGCCTTCAGGGACAGGAGGTCAAGGAAAGCCGTTACCGCGAGACGGAAAGATGTCAGAGACAGGACGCGTCCCGTTCTTTCGCCAAGGAGCACGACTTCGTCGAGCTTTACGAGTGCTTGGATCACCGTCTGAGAATGGACTCGGACCCGGAGGACGTGGATGCCCATCGGGAGCAAGTCTCGCCGTCGTGGGGCGCCGGATGGGACGCCTGCGCCGCGGAAGCTTTGAGATACCTCGTGGAGGACGAAGGACTACCGCCTCATCATCCCACGGTCTTGGCCATGAAGGACCATCTGGAGACGCAGAGGGAACGAGCCTTTGCTCGGTACACGGCGTAAACGAATCGTCGTTTAATCGAGCGCGATGGTATTTTTTTAAGGAAGTCTGGTTGGCCAGCTTCTCCAGGGATGCTCTCGGCGATGGTGGATTTAGATCGACTTGAAAACGGGAGATGACGTTTTCCGGTCGGGATCGAGATCGAAATCGAGGAGCGAACATGGACGAGGATGTAAACAGCTACCAAGAACTAAACTTTTCGAGCCGAGAACAGGCTACGTGTTACGTTAACGCCGTTGTCGATAGTTGCGGGGCTGATATGAGGCGTATCGACGCTACTCAGGGCTGAATCAACCCTTTGCGGCGACTTTTTCGGCCGGGCGAGGTAGCAGGTCGAGACGATTTGCGCAAATGTGTCGAGTGCCTTACAGGTAAAATAAAATGATCTTATTAAATCTTGAATATCTCGCGTGTTTTTTATGATAGGAAGAAATGTTAGTGGAAAACATTGTTTAGTTTCGAGAGAGTGATAGACACGATAGACAAAATAAAATTGTCATTGGACTGTCTTTAACACTTTCACTGCGGACGAAAATAAGTAGCCGTTCCCTGGGAGTTGCAATTATGATATTTTTTTTAATGACAAAATTTCTTACAAATGTTCTAATATGATTATTTTGAAAAACATATATTTGTGGTAACTTATTTTATATATAAAATTGGTTGATTATTATCCATTTTATAAGGGTAAACACAGAAAGAAAATTTTCCTAAAGTCTAACCACAACACTAAACACGAAAGAACAGACCAACATGAATGCTTAAATCGTGCCGACTGTCTAAATACGGCTAAACCGACTAAAAAAGCAAAGGACGCGCATGTGCGTCATCCGCACATGGCAAGGGCTCAGTTGGATGCACATGTGCGTAATCCGCAGCGAAAGTGCTAAATGGTACGGGGTATTTCATTATTTTCATTATCTTGCTATTAGCTGATAAAAAAATAAGTTACTTAAAACGAGTCATTCTTATAAAATCAATGAGATTTATAGCTACGTTATTTTTAATAATACAAAAATATATCTTAAGAAGAATACAATTTTTGTTCAAGATCATACTCTTCAAAATTTTAAGGTCGTTGAAGTTCTTTCAAATAGGATTACGTATTCTTATCATCGCGATGTAATTGTCGAGATCGGGACAAATGCAACTCTAAATTCATGCTCTAACGCTGTGACCTTCACATGACCTTGGATACGAATAATTCATAAAAGTTGAGCAATTTGATGCAAACAGTGAAATAACGATTACAGAATGATTAACGAAGCAAAATTTATTTATCACGATGATAAAAGTACGTAGTTCTATTAGAAAAAACGACCTTAAAGTTTTAAAGAGTATGACCTTGAAAAGAACTCTTGTTTGACCTTTCGAATTAAACGTCTTCCTCTTGAGACATATCTCAGTGTTATTGAAAGTATCATAGATATTTTAGTTACGAATCTCATTGATTTTATAAGAATAACTCCTCACAAGGTCAATTTGTGGTCGACGTACTATACATGTTTGAATTTGTCTTTTTTTTTTATCAGCTACAAGATTACGATAATGAAAATATCCCATGCAATTTAAAAAAGGTCAATATATATTTATAAGAATAACTCCTCACAATGTCATTTGTGGTCGACGTACTATAAATGTTTGAATTTGTTTTTATAAGAATAACTCCTCACAAGGTCGTTTGCGGTCGACGTATTATACATGTTTGAATTTGTCTTTTTTTTATCAGCTACAAGATTACGATAATGAAAATATCCCATGCCATTTAAAAAAGGCCAATGACCTTGAAATCTCGGAAAATATAACCTTGATATCATATTTTTGTCTATCATAGTATGTCCCCCTCCAAACCAAACAATATTTTCCACTAACATTTCTTCCTATCACAAAGATATTTAAGATTATAAGCGAGATATTTAAGATTTAAGAGTTAGGTGGGACACCCTATGTACAAATTATTTTACAAAAATGTTCTATTTTAATAGTTCATCTATATTCTAAGAATATAACTTTAAGATTATAACTTTGCAAAATGAAATTCTGTATTTCACTTTGGTATGATAATTCACGAAACATCGACCAAGATGCATTCTTGAGTTATCTGGACGTGTATCACAATAATAAGTTGTTTCGTGTCTTCCACCTGGTTTCTTTCGGCTAGAACAAAGTTTGCAATCCTTCTTTGTTCCAGTAAGAATCACATAGAGCTTTCCATTTAGCAGAATTTCGTCAGAATTCGAGGTCGATCTTGAAGCTCGATCGCGCTGCTGTCGAAAATCTCCTTTTTCAACTGGTTTATTAAAATTTTTCGAAATTGCAAATGTTTCGGTTGGATGTAACGAAAATCTAATGCAAACACTGATTATCGCCTCTCACTCGCTGCTCGACCTGTCGCCCGAAACGCCGAGAATTACTACTCGACCGCAAAGGGTTAATACGCAGGGCTTAGGAGCAATAGCGAAGGTGCCTGTGGCAATTGAAGATCCTCCAGAGGTCAGAGATAGGCAAAACTTTATTCGTACAATAAACGACGCGTAAAGTATAGCAGCTTCTGTACATTCGATATCGATACTCTCAGGTGGGATTTCAAAATCGTTCTTTATTATTTATTTATATAGGCGTGAATAGCGGCGAACGGTATTATCCCCACGACTACCTGTTGGAGTACTTGTCTGACACTCGAAAAGAAGTATTTGTTGCACTTGCACGAAGGATTTCGATAGCGAAATTTAGAGTCGAAGTTAGGCTTCGTTTCGTAATAGAGGTCACTTTCATAATCACAGGGACATTTAGCGTAGATTACGGTAGCATTCGATATTCACCGAGTAATCTTTTCCTCTGGATTCTGAAAACGGATTCGAGTATCGATAAAAAGGAATGGAAATTCTTTTAACGATAAAGAGAATATCTTTTAGAGAGAAATGGAAATTTAGTTTGAAAAGGTTCCAGCTTCCCTTCTGGATCCTCATTCCGAAGAAGAGAGATTAGGAATCTCTTACGTCTTGGTACTCGAGTGTCCCATATTCGCTCTTCAATCGTCGTCGACTGGAACCATCGCGATTGTCCACGCGAGCAAAAGTTCCTGTCGCGATAAAGAGGCATCCCTTTTCATTGAGATTAAAATGCATTCACCGTGTGTTTGTAAAGCAAACGACGCGCTTTCATGCGTCCAGCCGTGAGACTGTGCTCGTCGAGTGGACTCGAACTTCTCCGTAAATTTCTGGAGGACGTGGCTGTGCTTCGTTCCAAACGACTTTTCAGGCCGAGTTCTTTACTCGACCAAGCTATTAGCGTGAGAATGTCGCGCGACTGTGCTCGCGATTACTTCGAATCTCGAGATCGAAAGTAAATAACGACCCTTCGATGGTGTCTTGTATACTTTTTGTCAAGTTTCGCGAATTGGGATTCGAATTAAAACAAACCATGCAACGAGAACCGTGGTTCCAGTTTCTCTTTCGCTAATTCTTTTAGATGTAGGATAAGGTTACCTACGACAGATTTAAAAATACCAAGAATTATCTTTCTTCCGTTTTCGAGAAATAATATCTTAATCCTTTGGACTCGTTGGACTTGGAAAACTTTATTCGTTATTACTGGACTGCGGATCTTTATGCATTTATAGGAAATTTGAATGTGCAAGAAACTACAAAATGCGAGCAATATGCAAGAATATACAAAATATTGAAAGTAAAGTTCATGATACAATATTTGCAGAATAAAATAAGTTCCTATTTAGGTTCAGTTTTTGTAGGCACGCTCACGAAGATTGTATGTATTAGGTTGTCCTAACAGTTTCTTCCATTTCAGTAATAAGTAATACATACAAAATATTTGGTGTCTAATGTTACATTATTGAATTGCGTACGATTCATTTTGCTCTATTATTGTTACAATATTAGCATCTAAAAAATTAGGTTGTCTATTTATATGAACAGTGGCGCACAAAATAACTGAATGCAAGTCACGGAAGAAACTTTTGGGACAATCTAATATTTTGCATAAAGATCCGCAGTCTAGTGATTACACAAGATAAACTCATGGGAGCGTAAAATTTGTAAAAGTATATGATTTCTTGAAGATTTCTATTCAAATATCACGAAAAATCAAATACAAATATGGTACGTGTATAAAGATATATAGGATGTTCGGTAACTGGTGATGCAAGCGAAAAAAGGGTGAGTCTACGTGAAAAAATAAGTCTAAAATATAGAATAAAAATTTGTCATGTAAGGCTTCGTTTTCGAGAAAATTGACTTTGAAATTTCGCTTTGACTTTTATTTATGAAGTTATATTACACCTTTGCGCTCGAATGGCGCCTCTAGGACGACATGTGTAATTTGAAAGTGACTTTTTGAACGTACAATATCAATTTTGCTTATTTCAGAATAGAACTAATTATTATTCGAAATAATAATACATTGAGTCACGAATGTTCGTAGATGTTTCTTTTCAAAGTAGAGTTTTTGGTTTCACAGAAATTTATTATAAAAATGGACTAGATTTGATTCTATAGAAGAATCCTTTGAGCGCAAAGGGTTAAATCAATTGTGTATTCTGAATTGTAGTCTTTCATACATTAAAACAATCGAATACGTTAGAAAACGATCATGGAAATTTAATTAGAAGAGCAGAAGTATATATTCGCCAGGAATGGCAACATTTTACGATAAAAATAAACTTGAACTGCGACAATAATCTTCGAGCTAACGATCTACAGTGGGATTCGTTATAACGAGATATGATCAAGTGCACCCGTACCCGGCGAAAATTCAAAGTCGATTTTTTCGAAAACAAAGCCTCACGTGACAAACTTTTATTCTATATTTTCAACTTATTTTTTCATGTAAAATCGCCCACTTTTCGCTTGTACCATCAGATACCGAACACCCTATATATAACAAATATGAGCTTGTGTAACATGGAAAGCGACAAAAAGCATTTGTATAAGAAAGTAAGATGTGGGAACATATTTTGTATGACATGGTGCAATTTGTGATGATAAACAAGGAAGGCTAAGATTGCACCTTAAAAGATAGAAACTATCAATGCACATATATGACTGTTTCACACATTATCACATACAAAAATAGTATGAAATTTTGATTTTTGACATAAATATGTTTAAGAAAACATATGTAAAGAAATGGCTCCGAGTGCAAAGGATTATATGCATAAATTTTAATCAATTTTTTACTTTTTCAAAATGGTTACGCTCTCATCAACCACTCAAATGGATACTTGGACTCCCAGCGAAGAATATCGACGCGTTGCAATGGTTTTGGGAAACATTAATTCGTTTAAAAAATTGCCAAACAGCGACGCAGTGCTAGATTGTCGCAAATTTAATAAATTTGCGAGTCAAACGTTCGTATAAAATACTTAACGGTCAAAGGATTGAAATTCACTTTCGATCGAGCTTTCAGTGACGAAACAATCACTCATTTTATACTTAGATCGTTTCATATTCGCGAAAATAGTTCATTGGCGTTCCATCAACTAAAGCTTTACGGTTCGATGGGTCTTCGGGCTCCTGCGTCGAAGGAGCCTCGGTGAACGTAAACCAGAGACGGGTAAAATATTTGTTTAGATAAAAAATTCGAATAACGAATAAAAGATGAATAACTTTTCATCCTTTCGTTGTTGAATAATATTTACAATCCGAATGATAAAATGAAGTTATATTTCACGTTGAACGAGTGAAAGTTTAAAATCCGTACAATCGTTCGATGGAATAAACGTGGTGAGTGAATCGCTGTGTGTTCTTCTTATTCGTCACCGTATCGTTTAAACAAAATTTTTCACCCACCTCTGGAACACAAACGCAGACTGAACTTAACTTTCAATGGCGGATACGGTTTCACGCATTTGCGTTCAATCAGCCGATCAGCGTACTCGTTTAATTCGCTCGCGAAACGAGCCTTTCCTCTCGATCATTTCTCTTTAGTCTTTTTCTAGCGCAATTTTGTGTCTTGTTTATGTATCCTCGTTAGCGATATTATAATCGTCGTCGCTACCCTCGTTAGCATTATCGTTCTTATTATCGTTATTTATTTTAACTCTTATCGTCTTAGGCTAAAGGACTCGCGAAGATTCTCACAAGCTTTCGATCCATTGGACGTTAAATTCACCTCCGAGGTTAACAAACGACGGCCAATAAACGATGTCGATGCGAAAGGTTCATGCGCTGGATCGATATGAACGGAAAAGTGTATTCTTTGATCAATCTCGAGATGTCCTATCGAAGAGATCAGTTTCTGACCTATCATCACCAGTTTCTCATCTATCACCGATAGATATGAGAGAGAGAGAGAGAGAGAGAGAGAGAGAGAGAGAGAGAGAGAGAGAGAGAGAGAGA